TATATATATATATATATATATATATATATATATATATATATATATATGTATGTATGTATGTATGTATGTATGTATGTATGTATATGTATGTGTATAAGTGTAACTATAAATAGCATGTATTTCGTTTTTTTGTTTTGTTTCTGTTTTTAACTCTGACTCTTTTCCTCCCCAGTCTGATTCCCCCTCAGTCCGTGCCGCTGCAGTGTCAGAGACTGCATTGTCAGAGTTTGGACTGTGCTTGCGTCAGAGTCCTGCTGGATATAAAGGCGCAGCTCGCTGCTGCAGAGAGCAGTCGGGGCTTAAACCTGAGCCCTTCAAGAACCTCCACTCACAGACACATAAAGAGAAGAGTAGCAACCAACTTCTCCAGCCATGAGCAGCCTCGGATATGACCCCTACTTCACCTCCTCTTTGTATAAGCGCTGGTATGCTGAGCCTCCTCCTCGTGTTGTGGGGACCACCAGAGGGAGAACCCACTCCACCTACTCCTCCCATGCAGCACCGCTGTCCTCCTCCCGCCTGCAGTACTCCTCTCCGAGCCGGGCGCCGTTCTCCTCATCCTCGCCAGCTGCTTCCCTGGAGCTGGAGCTCAGCCAGGCAGCCCAGATCAGCTCGGAGTTCCGCACCGTGCGCACGCAGGAGCGCAGCCAGCTGCAGGACCTCAACGACCGCTTTGCTGGCTTCATCGAGAGGGTGCGTGAACTGGAGCAGCAGAACCGGGCTCTGGAGTCAGAGCTGCTGCTGCTGAGGCAAAGGCACTCGGAGCCATCCCGCCTCAGAGCTCTGTACGAGCAGGAGGCCCGGTCCCTGAGGGCCGCCATCGATGAGGCCAGGGCAGAACAGCAGGCTGTCCTGGGACAGAGAGAGAGGCTGGAGCAGACCTTCACCTCACTGCAGGGTCGATATGAGGAGGAAATGCTGGCCCGAGAGGAGGCCGAGGGCAGGCTGATGGAGATCCGTCGCGAGGCGGACGAGGCTGCTTTAGGAAAGGCCGAGCTAGAGAAAAGCGTTGAAACTCTGCTGGAGGAGCTGGCCTTCCTCAAGAGGATTCACGAGGGCGAGGTGGCTGAGCTCCAGGCTCAGATCCAGCTGGGTGTCCAGGTGGCCGTGGAGTCTGAGGCCGCTGCTCCCGACCTCTCTGGGGCTCTGAGAGAAATCCGGTCCCAGTACGAAAGGCTGGCAGCCAGGAACATGCAGACGGCTGAAGACTGGTTCAGAAGCAAGGTGGGCACGCTAACAGAAACCGTGGCCCATCACACCAACGCCGTGAAAAGCTCCAAAGACGAGGCCGGAGAGTATCGACGCCAGCTGCAGGCCCGCCTGCTGGAGATCGATGCCTGTAAAAATTTGAACGACTCCCTGGAGAAACAGCTGCATGGGCTGGAGGAGAAGCAGAGCGCAGAGATAGCTGCCATGCACGTAAGTACACAAACCGTAAAACTTCATCAGGTCTGATGTTTGACATACTCGCTTTGGTTTGTACGCAGGACACCATCGCAGAATTGGAGAGCGAGCTGAGGGGCACCAAACAGGAAATGGCGCGCTACCTGAAGGAGTACCAGGACCTTCTGAATGTCAAGATGGCTCTGGATATCGAGATTGCTGCATACAGGTGAAAGGCACCGACATGTTGGTTAACAGTTTTATCAAACTGTAAGAATAATTTAGAGAAGTTAGGGATTATTTTTCTGAAAATCCAGCTTGAAAGATGACTGCTGAATGGTTTTGATAAAATCTTTTTTGAAGAAGCTGAAACTTAAATTGGGATTTTAAAACAGTAGGAGGACCATTGTTAAAACCTGAACTAAAAGCTAAAAATATCATAGCTGTAGCTAAAAGTTAAAATCAGTAAAACTGTAGATGAAAGCTAGCAAAATAGTAGTTAAAGCTAAAGTAAGCTAAACTGTAGCTCAAATTTAAACTGAGCAAAATCATTGCTAAAAGCTAAAACTAGCATAGCAATAGCTCAAAGCTTAAAGTAGCAAACCTCCAAAATGTTAAATGTGAATTAGCAAGCAAAAGTTACATTTTAGATGCAGATAAAACAATAGCTAAAAGCTAAAAATAGCAAAAAATGTTGGTAAAACGAACGTTAAACAATATAGTTTTTTGGAAAGGTTAACAACAAATATCTTACCTGTTACAGATAGCCCTTCAACAAAACGTTAGAGAAATATGTTATTTCTGATGAAACTGACAAGCTAAGAGCTAGTCTGAGCAGGACCAAGACCAAAGTGGATTCCTGTCGTCTTAAAATAAATCAATTTTCAAAACGTTTATAGTGGCTCATGCAAATATTTGTTTATAATTATTTGTGCCACAACCAATTATTTTTTTTTTTAGTTAACACTTAGTCCATCAAAAAGATTGGAAGCTGCACCAGAAGTGTACGTCCTGCAGCAGCTAGCTGTAGTTCTTGTAAATGAATATACAATATGAACTTGATAGAGATATTAGATTGAATGAATAGTTTATTCATTAACAACTGATATATTGGTTAGACTGGAGTTATTTTAAATCATATGTTAGCTAATAGTGCTTTACAGCACTTTGGTTGGCCTTGCTGATGTTTTAAGTGCTCTATAAATAAAGTGGAATGGTATGGTAATCATTTTGGCCACAATTAAAATGTTTTTCTCCAAACTTGGGGCATTCAAATATTTATCTGCAACAGGCAAGATATTAATTGTTCCTAACCTTTTGAACCATACTTCCAACAATCTGAAACGTTTTTTTCTGAGACGTAGCTTCAGCATACTGACTTTCTCATCACCTGTGTTTGACCAAATTGAACAGGAAGCTCCTGGAAGGGGAGGAGTCTCGCTTCAGTGTGGGCGTGGCCGGGGTCGTATCCTCCATGTACACTCCCAGTTTGATGATGCCCTCCTTCGCCCGGCCCGTCCTCTCCAGCCTGAGCTCTGGTACATCCTACCTGATGACCCCCCGCCTGCTCAGCTCCAGCATCAGCACCACAGAGGGGATCATCTCTGCCAGCCGCGCCCAGCAAGCAGAGGCCAGCCCACCTGCTGAAGAGGAGGAGGAGGTAAAGGAGGAGGAGGGGGAGAAGGAAGTGGAGGCAGAAGAAGAAACTGAGGAGAAAAGGGATGCTGACGAGGAAGATGGAGGAAAGGAAGAGGGAGGTGAAGAAAAAGATGAGGAGGAGGAATCAAAGGAGGAACACGAGGAGACTAAAGAAGAAGAACAGGGTTAGTGCATCATTTTTTATTATTATCATAAATGTCTTAAACTGTAAAGACTAATGATAAAGTGTGTTTTTATTGTATAGGCAATGATGAAGAGGAGCAAAAAGATGAGGTTGAAGAGGATGCAGAAGAGAAAGGAGAGAAAGATGATGAAGAAGAAGCCGTGGCTAAAGGAGAAGCAGATGAGGAGGATAAAACAGAGGGAGCTGAGGACAAAGAGGAGCCTAAAGAGGAGAAGGAAGAGTCTAAACAGAGCGAAAAGAAAGAGGAGAAACCTGACCCTAAGAAGGGCGACAAAGAACCTGCTCCGAAAACAGAGGACTCCAAAAAAGAGAAAGTTGAAGATAAAACAGCCAAACCAAAGCTCGCTGAAGGAAAGAGCACAACGGATAAAAAGTAAGCAATAAGTAATGGGTTGTGATGCAAACCGTTGCCAGATGACCAAACAGCTCGGTAACATGGCGCTCAGCAGAACAATCCAACAACAAGTTAACCGCTTGCCGTACGAAGAATATTCCATAAAGTTCTGATCGCACAAATCCCAGTGACTGTAGCACATGTAGCTGCTGACTGCTAGTGTTTGAGTTTTTGGTGGTAAAATAAACTCTTCTTAAAGCCATGGTTCTGCGTCACGACTCCTGATTCAAAGTCCAAACAAGGATACAAGAGCGGAAATTAATTTCCGTCATTATAAAATCCTTATCATAAAAATAAAATGGGATCATAAACCTACACAACACTAATGGATGTATGTTTATTTGTGACTTGCTTACTCATTATTTTTGATTTTAACACAATATACCTTGTCATCCACAGAGAGGTGCTGGAGCACCCTCAGCTCCCCCACTTCCCATAGTCTTGTTCCCTTTTTAAGACTATCGCGTTGTTTACCTTTTAAAACCAACCAAACTTCAAATTTATTTTTTTTATCATTTTTTTTATTCACAGGCAATAAAATGCTTCAAACTCGAACTGTGCTTTTTGGTTGCTGCTTGTTTTGATTTGATATAAGCTCATCCATCCATCATCTTTACCTACCTATTCCTTTTTGGATCATGGGGGTCGCAGGTGCCCACGTCCAGCTATCACTGTGCAAGAGGCGGGGGACATCCTGGACAGTCCATCACAGAGACAAACAACCATTCACTCTCTCACTCACACCTAGGGACAATTTAGAATTACTTGCCTAACGTGCGTGTTTTTGCTCTGGAAACCAGAGTACCTGGTGGAAACCCACACACGCTCAGAGAGAACATGCACACTTGACCCAGAAAGGCCCCTGATCAGGATTTGATCCAGTGATCTTCTCGCTGAGAGGCAAGAACTCTACCTACTAAGGCACCGTGCTGCCTTGATGCACAAACGTATTAATAACTTAAACAAAAAATTAAACCATATCAACTATTGTTACCATAAAACTTGGAGTTAAAAGCCCATTTTATCACTAATATAAACACCTGAGAGAGTGTCTGTTGCTCTTCTGTCGTTGTTGTTTGACCAGCATGCTTTGCTGTAATTGGCATTTTCAATGTTACAAAATAGACGAGCTGCTCTGCTCTGATTGGCTGTTAATGTTAATGTGTGTCACTTTGAGGGTACGCAAACACTTATTCTTTCACTAAATTATGATTCTAAGTTTACATGTAGCACTGTCAACTTGAGCTCTGAGGTGATTTAAATATGTATTTGTAATATTATGTCTCGGACAAATCCGTGAAAGTGGTGTTTTAAACATGTTTGCTTTTTATATTTGACAAACTTCATCCATCCATTTTCATTACCTGCTTCTTGTCCGGGTCACGTTGATCTGCCAGATGCATGGTCCACCCCGGAAACCTTGAAAACAGGGATATGCAAACAACCATTCATTCTCTCACTCACAACTAAGGACATTTTAGAGTTACTAATTAACTTAACATGCATGTTTTTGTTCTGTGGAGGGAAACTGGAGCTCCTGCAGGAAAGCCATGTGTGTACAGAAAGGAAATAATGAAGATACACTGAAGTGGAGCAGTGGGCAACTATTAAAACACTGGGGGAGCAGTTAAGAAGTTGCTGTCACAGCCATTAAAACACACCGATTTTTTGAAACAAAATGAATAAATAAAATTAAAACAAAGATAAATAAAAAAAAAAAATAAAACAGTTTTGTATAAACTGTGACTTGTATGCCAAAGCAACATATTTATGGATTTTTTTTCCCCATATTTATAAATCGATTTTTGGCTGAGATATGACCATTTGCATTCCATCTGACCGAAAATATTGAACACTACCATTTTCAGCCGCTAGATGGCAGTCAAGCAGTATTGCATGCCGTTGTTTCATGTAATAGGTAAAAGTAGCTATTAATGACACAACTGGCTTGCCATACAGTGCCACCGTTATCTGCCGGGAGCAACCGTCAAATCAGCTTCATTTCGCTGTGCCGCCCCGGCAAGATGCAGCTGATTTAACCAATGAAGTGAATTTATTAAGTTAAAGTTCAACTGAGACACGACTTTACTATAAAGCCGAGCTAACAAATGATTGTTTTTAGGTTGATATCTTGTTAAATTTCAAAGAAATGCACAGCAAGTCCTCTCGTGCACTTGCATACTTCTGTGTATTGGCATTTGAAATGCAGCTGATTTGACCGTCAAAGTGCATTCATTAAGGAAAAGTTAGACTGAGACACACCTTTGTCATAATTTCAAGCAAACAAATAATTGTTTTTAAGTGTCAATCTTGTTAAATTCTTGTTAAAGTCCTCCCGTGCACGCTCCCGCAGCCGCCATTTGGCAGCCAATCGATTTTTCACAACACCGGCCCACATTTCCAGGTTGTCAGCAGTGACGCACAATGTATGCGACGTATACGGTGAAGTGACATATTTTTGGATTTTTCCATTTTATTAGACATATTTGGACTGATGCAACTTATAGGGCAGAGCGACATGTATGGTGGAAAATACGGTAGTCAGATTGAATCCATGATGGGGGACAATAAGTCTCAAGAAAAACTTAGCAATAACAGCATATTTTAGCTTGAGGTGTTGGAAGCTACAATCTTTGCATTTACACTTCTCATATTATATTACCAATTTACTCTAGAACATTAAATAATAAAAAAAAGAGACAACTCACTGTGACTCTGGTATTGTCATTGCTCCAAACGGCAGGTAGAGTTTCTTCACAATCTTGACAACAGGAATCAGAATTAGTGGATGTGTTTATAAGTTTTAATACACATATTTAGTCTGGAATACTAATAGAATTAAGAGTGGGGTGGTGGTGTGTGAGACAGCAGATACTGTTAAAAGTAAGACAAACATTGCTTCACACTTGCAAGACGACGTGCTGCTTCTTTCAGCTTAATTGCTTTCTTCTGTTAATTTAAGCTTGCTCTACCTTTTCAGCTAGATTTGAGCATTTTAAGGTACTTTCAGCTGTTTTCAGATAAATACAAGTTTACCATGGTAATTTCTGCTACTTTCAGCCTAATTAACTTATTTCTGCTATTTTCAGCTTGTTATACTCCTTTCATTTTATTAATGCTAGTTTCAGCTTTTTCTACTATTTCAACTACTATTTAGCTGTTTTTTGTGCTAAATTTAGCTTTTTATGAATGAGCTTTATTTTAAAAGGTGACAATGTACAACTTGGACATAAAAGCCACCATTTGATGCACTTTACCAGGTTATAGCAAAAGCTAATTCACATCTGCAGTCCCTTGACAAGTTAAAAAATGGATAATAAAATAAGACAGAAAATGTAATACTACAAATTGCTTTCAAATCAAATACACACAAATACACATGTACATACTGAATCATTGGCACACACACAGTCTTAATGTTTTTCAGCTTATCCACATTCATTTTAGCTCAGTTCAGCTCCTTTCACTTTCTTCTGGCAGTTTAAGCTTCTTTTTTCAGCTGTTTTTTTCATTGTTGTGAGATTAAACGTATTCTTTTAGAGATAATTTCCTAATGTTTGTGGTTGTTTCTGCTTTTTCTTCTTTCTTTTGCTAACTTTGACTTGTTCTACCATTTCAGCCGCATTTCAGCATTTTGTTTAGCTAATTTCAGCTGTTTTTTAGCAAGATCTTCAGCAATAAGCATTCACACTTATTTTTTTTTTTGCAGGAAATTTAATTTCTCTAGTTTAAAATATGCTTTAAAAAGCAAATATCACCCCCCAAAAAACAAACACAAACAAAACAACAGCAAACAAACAACAAACCAAAAAAAATCATTTATCCAGAAAGGCTGAGGTGGCAGGATGAACTTACAGGAACAACACAATGAGCTCAAGAACAACGCAGACATGCTCCTGTTTTTATTATTTATATTTGCTTTATAATCTAGCTGTATTTGTTTCTTTTTATTTATATCATTTTCTTCTATTTATTTTTCAATGTATACGCTTTATTTTATGATTTTCTACTGTTGTCATCATTCTTTGGTCTCTCTTGTAAACAAGTCCTCGATGCTCAATGAAACTAACCTGTATAAATGAAGGTTGAATTAATGTTTGTTCTTATGAGAGAGATCTGGACCACATAAACCAAACAGTAACTGGGCCAGCTGTGGCATTGACAGATTTGGGCCACATAAACCAAACCACAGTCAGGACAGCTCCATCACTGCCAGACCTGGTCCACATCTGGTTGATAAATCACTTACGATACCAGCAATCATCCAGAAGTGCCAGCTTGACACCATATTTAGCCCACACCTGTCTGCTATGTGGGGATGAGTTATCAATTAGATTAGTTCATTGCCTCATGTGTTTAAGTTGCAAATAAACAAATATGTACTTTTTTTTAGAATGCTGCAATGTGTAAAGAATTAAAAATATGGCTTCCTTTCCCAAACTGTGATTTCCAGCACCCTTACCATCATGGGATTTGTAATCGGATCATGGCGCTGATCAAAGCACACATTTGTTCGTGTTAGTGATTAGCAGATTAGCAGATTAAAACATGAAAATACAGTAAGTGGCTAAATGTCGTTCGTTAATTACTGTGATGGTGTTGTAACGTTTTTATGCTGACAAATTGACACGTTCTACCACAACCCTAATGCTTTGCCTTACGCTTTTAATTTATTTTTTTTAATCTGTACCAAATTTGTACTTTTCAAAGTCAAAGAGATGCTGGATCATGGGGCTAACATAGAAATAAACAGCCATTTGAACACATACTCCAAACATGGATATTTGTGGACTGGTGGTAAAAAACACAGTCACATTCCTTGCCAATCAATTCCAGATCAAACCCACAACATACTGGTGGTCAAAAAAATTAACCACTGCACTGGTGTGTACAGCATTGAACTTGGCCCATTAAAACATAAAAACATATTATTTAACTTTTTTTGGGGGTGGGGGGGGGGGGGGGCTCCCTTCAACAGGGACTAGAAAATTAACTTGTATGAAGACTTGGAAGTAGTTCTAACTCTGTATGCCCTTCCTGACGCAAGCCACAGCCCTCTGTGTCGAGCAGAGAGCTGCTATCTGGGGCACTCGTAGGAGTAAATGGTGGGGGTTAAGGGCCT